CCATCAACTGTGCCTATGCCAAGTTCAGGCTGAAGATGAGGAAAATGTAAATAACTCCACAAGAACTGAAATACGACTCTGAATATATCCCACCTGAGAGTGGCATGGCCCTGCAGGATAAGCATGCAGCTGTTAACCAAAAGGTTGGTTCACACCTATGAGCTACACCTTGATACCCTATACAGGGCTGCCGTGAGTCGGAATCGACACAAAAGTACATAACAATATCCCACCTGAATTTAGAGATCATCTCAAGAACAGATTTCATGCATTAAGCACTAGTGACCGAAGACCAAAAGAGTTACGAGATGACATCAGAACATAAGGCGATTTAAACGACAGGAAAGGCAGAATCAAAGCAATGGCAATAGTAACACCTCTATAAAATAAAGTGGAAATGTTCCTGCCTCTTCTGTGTTCTGGAAGAGATTGTATAGAATTGAGACTAATTCCATAAACAATTGGCAGTATTCGCTATTGACAATATCTGAGCCTGGGGATTTTTGTGGAGGCAATGGCTAGATGATCAGAACTCAACTAGAAGAAGAAAAGAGGAAAAAAAGAGTAATCTGATACAGTTTGATAAACTTGATGTACACCTATGGATGCTGTAGCTCAATGAGGGAACAAATCTTTGCAGTGAGGATCATTCCCACCCTCTTGATACGCAGGGTAGACAGAGATGGGCAACTTGGACATTGGCTACCCAGAATGGAGGGCTGCAAAGGCAAGAGGTGACTGGCTTACAAGCTTTCAAGAAGGAGCCTAGACCCAGAAGGTGTGGAGGAAGGTAGAATCTCCACTGAGTAGTATCTAATCCATCTGGGTGGGGCTGATGAAAGGAGATGGGGATAGCAGTCATGTGGCAGAATAGTGTTTAATTGTTATCAGGACTGACTGTGAGGGTTAGAAATGTGAAGTTAGATGTAAAGGTAGCAAAAGGAGGGGAGTGATTGACTTTGCAGTCTAGGAGCTGAGGTCTCTGGGACCATCAAAGGAGAAGAGCAGAGTGTGGGACCCTACCCAAAGAAACAGTGACACCAGAGATGGTGGCAGAGATGATGACGTGCAGAGATGGAGCACTGGGGACTCTAGACCCAGAGAAGGAGAGGGGCTGTGTGCTGATGACCCGGGAGGGAGGAGGAGGGCAAGATTTGCAGGATATACCCTTTGGTTGGTTGATGATGCACGGAGGGGATTGTAATCATGGCAATGAACCGATATATGACAGGATGAATGTAAAGCTAATGTTCTCCCATGTAAAGTAAACTATCACATAATTCACACTAAAACATTAAAAAAAAAAAAGAGTTGGCATGAAGGGGTGTTGTTACTGTTGTTTCCCGTTTCCTCTTTCCTACACTGTGGAGATGATATTCCTGTGTCTTCCAACCACTATTGGTGTTGCTGAGAACCTTACTTTCTTTGTACGGTGGTTTTGTTTGTTTCTTTTACTTTTTTATGTTTGCTGTAATAGTCTATCTTTCATGCTCTATTTTCACAATGATGTGACTAGAAGTTAATTTATTCTTCTTTACCCTGCTTACAGATTTATTTTTTAATCATATAATTCCTCACTTTTTAATTCTAGAAAATCCTCATTCAGTATTTCTTTTTACTTCTTCATTTAAAATGCCTGTAAGACCATGGTGGACCTTTAAATGTGTACATCTTTAACGGTCTTTCATAGTAGCTCACTCTTCAACTGTCTGTACTCTTGTTGTTCCGTGCCATCAAATTGGTTCCAACTCATAGTTCCAACTCATTCTGCCAAGGGCCATTTGGATATTTGTAACTCCATTCGTGAGCCGTACAACATTATCAATATAAAAATTAGCCTGTTATATTTGGTCAGATATTTAATTAACTCATCCCTAATGTGATGGTGAAAGGCGCTCTTGTAGTGTAGTGGTTACAAATCGGGCTGTGAACCATAACGTCAGCAGTTCGAAACTACCAGCCGCTCCGTGGGAGAAAGATAAGGCTTTCTTCTCCCCTAAAGATTTACAGCCTCGGAAACCCTGTACAGGGTCGCTATGGGTCGGAACCGACTTGACGGCACGTAACAACAAATCTGATGGTGAAGTCGCTCTGGTACCATAGTGGTTACGAATCTGGCTGCTAATCTCACGGTCAGCAGTTTGAAACTACCAGCCGTACTGAAAGATGAGGCTTTCTGCTCCCGTAAAGATTTACAGCCTCGGAACCCTATACAGGATCGCTCTGAGTTGGAACGGACTCCATGGCACATAACCACCACCACCAATGTGATGGTGAAGGAGCTCTGGTAGCATAGTAGTTACAGATCAGGCTGCTAATCTCATGGTCAGCAGTTCAAAACTACCAGCTGTACCATGGGAGAAAGATGAGGTTTTCTGCTCCCATAAAGATGTACAGTTTCGGAAACCCTGTACAGGGTCGCTATGAGTCGGAACCAACTCACACAGCACATAACTATAACAACAATATGATGGTATGGCACTACAGGTTAATGGGCTGTACTGCAAGGTTGGTTTGGATCTCAAGGTGGGAGATTCAAGCTCACCAGTCACTTCTTGGAAACCCTGTACAGAGTCGCTGTGAGTCAGAACCCACTCGACGGCACTTAACAGCAACAACAGTGTGATAGCAGGAACTGTGGTTGCCTTGGCAGGACCAGACCAGATGATCTCAGGGGCCCTATATGGCCTGTGGGCTGGATGTTCCCCACCCTTGCTGTATAGGGTTTCTGAGGACCGGCTGGTGGGTTTGAACCTCTGACCTTGTTCACTGTTTATCTGTACTGCATCCTGATTATTTCTTCCAGTCTCCATTCCAGTTCGGAAATTCTCTCATCAATTGTGCCCATTCTGTTCTCATTTGGATATATAACTTTTTGTTGTGAATTGGGTGAAGGTTTACAGGGCAGATAGTGTTTTTTTACATCCAACAAATCATACTTTATTTTATTGTAATGAATACAGTCCCCTCCATGTATCATTAGTTAACTGTATTTACCTCTCTTCCTTTTTGTGTGTGTGTTTGATGTACATATATTAAACAAAAACTATATGTATTAATTTAAATGTCCAAAGAGCACATTTTCCAAGCCAGCCTCCTGACTGCTGCCGGCACACAGCCTTTCTCAGTCCGTGGGTCAAGAGTCCTCAGCTGCTCTTTCTCTGTATGCCATCGCTTCTGCTGCTGTCTCTGCTTCTCTGGTTAGGACCCCTTCCTCCATTCATGTTCTTCCCTTTTGCTGGTCCTAGGGTCTTCTGTTCTTGAAATGAAAGATTAACTACTTCCCCCTCTTAGTTACACATCTTCTACAATTACACTTGTGACCATCAAGATTAATTCTCATAACAGTTCCTCTCAATTGAATCATAAAATCCTGTCACCATCATCCTCCATCCCCCTTTTGCAGATCCATCTCGAAAGAGGAAAACTATTCATTGGGGATTCTACATTACCCCCCTCATTCTGAAACTAAGCACACTCATGGAAACTTGTATGCCAGCCTCTTCGTGCCTCTGTAGAACCCCACTTTTAATAGCCAGTGTCTAAGTTGCCCGTCCCTGTCAGCCCAGTGCACTGAAGAGAAAAGCTTGATCCGTGATATAAAGAAACCTTCCGTTTTGGTTGGACTTTTGAGCAACTGCATCTATAAGCAAAGGGCCAGTTCATCAAATTGTAGCAATTTACACTTGCTTTCTCAGTATCAAACTTCTTTGTCTTCAACTGGTCAAGTTCTGGTCAGCTAGCCATCCAGGCTAGGTCACTTGGGTACTAGCTACAGGTTTGGGAGTTCTCTCACACCTCCAGGTGTGGGAATGAAGTCAAAGCAGTAGGAGTGAAAGTGAGAGAACTCATGTTCTGTAGCTCCAGCAAAGCTAAACTAAAATTGTGTGCATATAGATAAACAACCCACCAAGGAGAATGTGAGGTTACTTGTGCCCACTGAGAAATTCCATTTAGGAAATCCTGTGTTTCTACTTTGTTGAAACCAGTATCCCAAGTTAAATATATTGCTACATGTAAAGAAGAAATGTAAACTGTTTCCTATACTGAATCAGACAAATTTTACACTTGAAATACTGGCTCAAACTTAGCTTAAACCGTCCTTCCCACATGTCACAGATGGAGGAAAGAAAAAAGGAAACGTACAAAAAATTATCTTCAGCTGCAGGGGAAACTCCTAATTTTAAAAAAGAAGGAAGGTGTAGACATCTCAAAGCCCACAGTATAAGTCTATCTGGTTTTTTCTTTGGTACAGAATACACTCGAGATTTCAGGGCTATTTTTGCGTATCGTTGAGTGTGCATATTTGTTTGAATTAAAGAAATGTAAACAAAAGTGTTGTCTTGGAGTCAGTTCCAGCCGTAGGGTTTTCTTGGCTGTAATGTTTACAGAAATAGATTGCCAGGTTCTTCTTCCGAGGCATCACAAGGTGGGTTCCAATCATCAACGTTTCAGTTAGTAGCTTAGAGCAAACGATTTGTGCCATCCAGAGACCATATTTCTATAAACATTAGCTAGAAAATGGACTCGTGTTACTCGCTAAAAGAGTAGATTCAACCAGCATGGTTTGAAAAACCCTTTGATTTGAATGTAAGTCAGATATTTAATAAATAAATAAATAAATAAATGTGAAAAGGTAATTTAGCATGTTTATTATCATTTTCATAGTCCACTGGTGGCACAAATGGTTGAACACTGCACTGTTAGCCTAAAGGTGGGTGGTTCCAACCCATTCAGAGGTGCTCAGAAGCCAGACCTAGCAGTCTGCTTCCAAGCAAGAAGTCACCCTAGGGAGCAGTTCTGCTAAATATCAGCACACGTGAGGCTGCGTTGGGTTGGAATGGACTCCACAGCAACTTAGGACAAAAATCATTGTCCTCGGCTTTCCTGTCTTCTTCAGTCATGTACTAATTAGCCAAGATTGGGTGATTGTAATCTACGGATAAATCCATAGCAGTCACTTTGGAGTTATTTTTATGCAGTCTCTTTTTATCTTTCAGATTTTTTGTTTAAGTTCTTGGTTATTGGAAATGCCGGAACTGGCAAGTCATGCTTACTTCATCAGTTTATTGAAAAACAATGTAAGTGACGTTAAATGAATAGTCTTTCTTGCATGTCTTGTTCTGAGAATGTTCTCTTGTTCAGATTTGATTGCAGTAAAGCTTCTGATTTTTTTTGTCCACCCCAGGAAAAAAAGTTGTTTTTAAAATCTTTTTCAAGTAACGAAAGATTTATGCTTTAAACATTTAGTAATAAGGGTGGATTTTTGATAAGTTAACATTTTAATATTATAGTGTTTCAAGTTTCAGTAGTTAATAATTCTATGCATTTTACAGATGCTAAGAGATAACAGGGGAGCAAGGTGGCTCGATAGGATAAACACTGGACTGCAAACCACCAGGTCGGCAGTTCTAGCACACCAGCTGCTCTGCAGGAAAAAGATGAGGCTTGCTGCTTCTAGAAAGATTTCTGCCTCAGAAACCCTATACAGGGTCGCTATGTGTTGGTACCGAGTCAGTGGTACCAACAACAAAAGGTAATAAATACGTTTATGCTGGAGACAGCAAAGGAAATCTTTGACAGGAATTCATTTCCTAACAGGAAGAAACCAGACCTAGGAGCACACTGTAGATAAGATATTCCGGTCCTCAAAGTAGCCTTGTATTCATAGTTATCGCCACCAATTGTTTCACAGGTAGGGAAACAGGTTTAGAGAAATTGGTTTTGTGCTCTTGGGATGTTGTTGTTAAGTGCTGTCAAGTCAGTTCCGACCCATAGCTCAACCCTGTATAGGATTTCCAAGGAGTGGCTGGTGAGCTTCAACCACGAACCTTGCAGTTCAAACTGACTTTGCAGTCCAGCAGATTAGCCCGCAGTGCCACACCAGAACTCCGTGCTCGTGGGATAGTCACCTAGTAATTTGGTAGGTTCAAACCTGAACCTGTTGGCCACAGAACCCATCTCTTTTCATTGACTTGTGCTGTTTTGGAAAGGGAGGTTGACTTTTTTATTCCAAACTATGTGAGACCTTTGCAAAATGTTAAAGACTAGAGTTGTCGAGACTGATCTGCTTTGTTAATAGCAGTTGGATAAAAGCTCAAAAACAGAATGAATTTGATTTAATGAAGTTCATCTTAAATAATTATGCATATAATACCATGAAGGCCCCCAAACCTAGTGCCATCAAGTCAGTTCTGACGCACAACTTCATATGATACCATGGGTGATGAGTTGTTAAGTGCCATGGAGTCAAATACAACTTATAGACCCCTATAGAGGGTTTCCAGGGAATGGCTGGTGGGTTTGAACTGCCGACCTTGTGGTTAGCAGCCCAGTGCTTATCTTACAGTGTCTCACCAGGGCTCCTAGGTAAAGAGACAATATAAGATGTTGACAAAGAGCTTTAAAGAAAAAAAAATTCTAGAAATGTATTCTGCTACATCCATCCTCATCAACCGGAAAAGCTCGCTGACGCTTCTGTACTGTGATGGACCTAGCATGGGTTAGTGACAGAGCCAGCCCATATTGAATTTAACAAGTATTCACTCACTAGGTGGCCTGAGTTTCTATAGACATTATCAAGACTTTGCATTGTACAGACTCAGAAAATCAAAGGATTTGAGGCCAAGTATTCAGCTTGCTTAATCGTTCTTTAGAACAACTCTCCCTTTGTTGTTGTTGTTGTGTGCTGATAAGTTACTTCTGACTCATAATGACTTCCTTCGACACAGAAGAACTGCTCCAGAGGGTTTCCTGTGCTCTAATCTTTCCAGGAGCAGGTTGCTAGGTCTTGTATAATTGGCAGCCAGCCAAGTTCTCAATCATTGTACCATGAGTGCTCCATTCTCTTTGATAGCTCTCCCCTAGTTTGTCATGATGGAGCCTGGCATGCATGTTTGGGCTTATTGTGGGCATGTTATAGTCAAGATGCCCTTGGCCTTAATAGGTCTTTTTTTGGAGATTTTTATTCCATGTTTTGCTGATAGCTTAATTCTAGTGGAATGTGCATACTAGTTGTGTACTGCCAAGGTGTGAGTCAGACGGGTATAGTCAGTAAGTATTACCAGTTTTATTCCCATCAATAACAACAAGCAGTTGCTGTCAAGTCGATCCCAGCTCCTGGCGACCCTGTGTGTGTTAGAGCAGAACTGTGCTCTAATCGCTTTTCAGTGGCTGAGGTTTTTTTTTTTTCAGGAGACCACTGGGCCTTTCTTCCAAGGGGCCTATGGGTGAACACAAACCTCCCACTTTTCTGTTAGCAGCCAAGCCCATTCAGCATTGGTATATCCAGGGACTCCTTCTTGCTCTTCACTCCCCTAGAAAACACAAAATGCAACTGTCAAATGGCATCCTTGACTTTTGGCAGATTTAAATTTTGTCCTGCAGTTATAAAGGAGCAGCTGGTCAGTACACTCTGTAACTGTGATATTTGGTTATCACAGAAAGTTTACCATATGACTTTCTTTGCCTTCCTGTCTGTTCATTCAAACAGTACTGAATTTTCCAACAAATTCTTTTTTAGAAGTATTACCTTACAACACCAAAGTTTATGAAAATTCAGCAGCTACAATATGCATAGAGTTTATTCCATCAAGTTTCTTTTATGGAATATCATATTTCCCTTCCTTTTATTTCTTTAGAACATTTATTCATTCAGATAGTTTCACTATCACAACCTCATCATTGACCGGTTTTCAGATCTTTTGCTGGGCATTTGGTCCTTCTAGGATAATATGCTGGCATGTTCAACATTCTCCATTTGTGACTATCACAGTTAGATTTGGCTCTGATATGGTGTGACCACCTCAAAGCCCACACCTTCTATGTGTCATTTATTTGTGGAGCTTTCAGGGAAAGTATTACTGTGTCTTTGAGAACAGGGGCTGTGTGTATTCAATATAAAATAAGAATGTTTTTGTTTTTAGCTGGTTATCCAGACAAATGACTAAGATAAATTACGTTTTCCATTGACTTAATTAACTCTTAACTTTAGTTATAAGTTTAATCTGTATGCATTGTTCCCTTAATGTTCTAAAATTAAGTATTTTGTTCTTGTTTTTCTTTTTTAGTCAAAGATGACTCAAATCATACAATAGGAGTGGAATTTGGTTCAAAGATAATAAATGTTGGCGGTAAATACGTAAAGTTACAAATATGGGATACAGCAGGACAAGAGCGATTCAGGTAGATTTTTCTCTAACGTAATAAAAGTGTTTGAAAATTGCATTGAATTAATCAGTTATATTCTTTTAATGTATAGCTCCCCACTACCCTCACTCCATACCGATTTCAGAAACTGCGTCTGGAAGCTTTCATAGTTAAACTTGTGTTTAGTTTACACAGCGCTGATTTACTAACACATACGTTAGAAGGCTCAGAGTGAAGGCACGCTCATTTTGAGGCTAACTTACTCTGTGTGGGTAGCGAATTCATTGGGAGGCTCGTAACATGGGACTGTAAAGTAGCTTTCAGATTAGAATCAAGGCAGAGTCAATAGTGTAAACAATTTTTAAGAAATCTTAAAATACTTCTTGTGGGCACTTTGTTTTCTGAATTTTTCAAAATCTGTTTGTTTTACACTAACTAGCGTATTCTAATGGTTTGCCTACATTCCACAAATCTTTCTCTACTTGACACTTTTGGTTATAATACGGTCTTCATTGATGCTCAGTATGATGACCTCAGATTACTGCAGAGTTTACAACAGCAAAAATTAGATTACATGTTGAGTAATTTCTAACTACTCAGGCAAGAAAGTCGATTAGTATTTTAGTTGTGTTATTTGCACACATTCAGACATTCTTAGTTTCAAAATTAGTTAAATAAAGCTTTCCCTTACTACAAGCATGCCACTTAAAAGGCACACACACACATATAGTTTTTGTTGTTGTTAAGTGTTGTCAAGTCAGTTCTGATTCATTGAGTAGCTGGTGGGTTTGAACCACCGACCTTGTAGTTCACACCAACCTTGAAGTCCAGCACATTAACACGCAGCACCACACCAGGACTCCATATATGTATATGTGTGTGTGTGTGTGTGTGTGTGTGTGTATGAATGAATGAGTGAATAGATGAATGAATGAATGAATGAGGTGGCTTCAGAAAGTTCAAGGGAAAACAAAATGAAAAGGTAAGGGGATTTCTCCATGAACTCTGTGAGGCCCCTCCTGTATTATTTAATATATACATGTTACATGTTAAATGCTCAGTGATTGTTTGCTTTGCATTTGTCATTGTTGTTAGATGTCATCAAGTCAGTTCTGACTCATAGTGACTCTGTGCACAATAGAACAAAACGCCATCCTCACAATTGTGATGCGTAAGCCCATTGCTGCTGCCACTGTGTCAATCATCTTGTTGGGGGGTCTTCCTCATTTTTGCTGATTCTTCACTTTACCAAGCATGATGTCCTCCTCCAGTGACTGGTCCCTCTTGCTAACATGTCAGAAGGATGAGAGATCAAATCTTGCCATTCTGACTTCTAAGGTGCACTGTGGCTCCACTTCCAGGAGCGATCTGCTTGTTTGTTCTGGTAGTTAACAGTACCTTTAATATTCTTCTCTAACACCATAATTCAACTTCATCAGTTCTTATACAGTCTTCCTTATTCATGGCCTGGATCAGGCACACCTTAGTCCTCAAAGTGCTATCTTTGCTCTTGAACACTTCAAAGAGGTTTTATATGCAGATTTACGTAATGCAATATATTGTTTGATTTCTTCACTGCTGCTTCCATGAGCACTGATTATGGATCCAAGCAAAATGAAGTCTTTGACAACTTCAGTCTCTTCTCTTATTTATCGTGGTCCAGTTATGAGGATTTTTGTTTTCTTTATGTTGACATACAGTCTATACTGAAGGCAGTGGTCTTTGAGTATTTTCAGGTCCTCTTTGTTTCCGGCAAGCAAAGTCGTATCGTCTGCTTATAGCAGGTTGTTAATGATGCCACATTCCAGAAGCCACATTCTTCTTCAGATAATCCAGCTTTCTGGAGTATTTGCTCAATATGCACACTGAATAAGTATGCTGAAAGGATACAACCTGGCACATGCCATTCCTGATATCAAACCGTTCATTGTCCCCTTGTTCTGTTCTAATGACTGCCTCTTGATCTATGTTCAGGTTCCTCATAAGCACAACTAAGTGTTCTGAAATACCCATTCTTTGAAGTGTTACCCTTAGTTTGTCATGATCCATGCAGTTGAAAGCCTTTGCATAGTCAATAAAATACAAGTAAACATCTTTGAAAATATCGTAGCCTTCTTTAATCACAACCATTATTCTGAAATCCCTTATGAATCAGGCTGGATTCAATTCAGATCTTCATCTGTTCCCTCCCAGACCCCACTGAAATTCTTGTACAGCAACTGAAATAGTAGTAAGTCAGAGAGACCTAGAGGAGGCCATGCCCTCTGATGACTGAGGGAGCGTAGATGTTTTGTAAAGGTAAGCAGCAGCAATCCTGTGACTGTCAGGAGTAGCTGATGCTCCGTCTTATCGCTCATAATTGGGGGGATGCCAGTAATCTGGAAGCCATTTCTTCCTCCTCAGCTCAAACATGGTTTGGATTTGGAAACATCATGATCTACACGAGGGATGCTTTAAAATGTGTACACACGGTCGCTTACATGTGTGTGTACTCACACATACACCCACACCAGATGAGAAGTGTAGTCTCTTTAGCTGAAGCAGCACCTAGACTCACAGTCATAGGTACAGCCGAGTGAGGTCTGGGAAGAGGAAGACAAGTCAAAGTGTATGTGCACCCAGAGCTTGGAATGCCAGCTCTCCCCACACCGCCTTCCTACTGGAGGCAGCCAAGTGTATCCCGGACAGAAGAAAGGATGCTTCTCTAGAGAAAACTGAGTAGCCAAAAAAGGGGGGCTTGAACATATTAACATTTTGGTTTCCCCAATACGATGGCCCAATTCCATCCAATCACCTTTATAGCAAGCCTGTTAGCCTACCCACTCCCCAGTACATGGAGTTTCTTATAGACCTTTTCAGACTCTGCTCTTAAATATGAGCCATCCAACAAGGGTCACCAGACATTTGAAGGGAGTTTCTAAAATGAAAGAAAGAAGCCAAAATTGCAAAAAGAGGAATTTGCAGAAAACAGGAAAAATGAGAGCGGTAACATAAGGAATCAGAGTTAATCTTGAGAGAAGCAGAGGAACCAATAAAAGAAATATCAGGAGATCATTTTCCACTGTAGGAATGAGATTCCAGATCATGTGAAATTTTAAAACACTAGGGATAAAGTAAAAATACAAAAAAGTCCCAAGAGTTAAAACAGAACGAAACAGTTCCATGTAAAGAATTAGTTAATGGAAGGGCATTGGACAGCAACTACATTGGGCAGCAGCAGCTACGTTGTACGTTGAAAATTCATCATGAATTTAAAAAAAAAAAACACCTAGAATTCTAACTTGTCCAAGCGATCGATTAAATGTAAGAGTAAGTCAGAATACTTTTATATATGCAACAGTGGGGACACAGGACTGCCATCCACACCCCTGTTTTTAGAAACTTCACCAGTACAAGCCCAGAAAGAAGAAAATCAAGGCAGCAGAAGAATTCTACACATAAGGAGCCCTGGTGACACAGTGGTTAAGCACTGGACTGCTAACCCAAAGGTCTGGCTTGAACTCATGTAGCTGCTCTAAAGGAGAAAAGGCCTGTGATGTGCTCCCATAAAGAAAGTTCTGTTCTGTTATATCGCCATGAGTCAGAATCTACCCAGTAACATATCACAATGTGAAAAAAAGGCCTTCCACCTCTGCTCCAAGAGGCTACCTTGGGAAGAACGAAAATTGTCACCTTTTTCCTTCTGCGCCCCATTTTCCATTTCCGTTTGCACCCCTCATAGCAATCTAAAGGCGAAAAGGGGAAAGTTCGAGCTGCCTTGGAGGCTTAAAAGCAAAAAACAAAATTTTTTAAATACCTGCCCTTTTCCAAGTATCAGCTATGATAAGTAATTTGTTTAACTAAGTTCCAGAGTTTTCTTTTTTTCTTCCAGTGTTGTTACTGCCATCGAGTTCCAATTCATAATGACCTTGTATAGGGTTTCTGAGGAGAAAGTGGTGAGTTTGAACCTCCAACTTTGTGGTTAGCAGTTCAGTGTTTATCCTACAGAGCCACATCAGGTTATTTTATCTTAATTTCACTGAAAGTTACACAGCAGCTTAGGTTCCCAATTAATAATTATAATTAATAAATTATACGAGGTCATCAATGACTTGGTTACATTCTTCACAAAATGTGAACATTTTCATTATTTCCATTCTGGTGGTTTCATTTCCATTAATCTAGTTCTCCTGCCCCCTTACATTCCCGTCTTTGTTTTAAAGTAACTATTAGCCTTTTGGCCTCATGTAAGTAATTTTTTGGAGCCTGGTGTGGCACTGTGGGTTAATGCACCAGACTGCAAAGCTGTTTGAACTGCAAGGTCGGCGGTTCAAGCTCACCAGCTGCTTCTTGGAAATTACAGGGTCGCTGTGGGTCGGAACTGACTCAATGGCACTTCACAACAGCAAGAAGTGATTTTTAAAAGGAACATGGTACTTATGGGTGGCATTCATTATTGTTTTTGTCATTTCTGCTGACCTTGGGAGTTAGTTTCCGTTCAAGATGTGAATATTATTTCAGCGTCATAGTCTCAGGGAGTTCTCCATTCTCAGCCATTCTCGTAGGTCTGGGTTTTCTAAACAGGAATTGAGGCTCTGTTCCACACGCTTCTGTAACCCTCATTGGTGTTAAGTGCTGTCAAGTCGCCAGTCCTGTATAGCGTTTGCAAGATTGTAAATCTTAGCCGGAACAGAAAGCCTCAGCTTTCTCCTGTGGAGTGGTTGGTGGGCTTAAACTGCCACCATATGGTTTACAATCCAGTGCTTACCTGGAGCCATTGTGCTCCCTCTCCAATCCCAGGTATTATGTATTTTATTTTGAAAATGTATAACAATTGCCTATCAATATTCCAGACACTATGCGAGGTCCCAGAGCATGCTAGGGAAGCAGACCAATATAAAACATATAAACCATGTAATTACCAAATGCTATTAATGAAAAAAGATGTTGTTATTAAGTGCCGTCTAGATGGTTCCGACCCATAGTGGCCCTGTATAGGGTTTCCAAGGAGCAGTTGGTGAGCTTGAACTGCCAACCTTGCAGGTCACACCCCTTTGCAGTCCAGTGTGTTAACCCACACCACCGCACCAGGACTCCACAAAAAAAGAGAGAGTGTGCCAAACAGTAATGAGGGTGGGGGAGGGAAGAGGTGTCCTACTTGAAAAGATGATGGTTAATGAAGCCTGAAGGATGAAAAAATTAAAATTTAAATAAACCAGCCTTGTTAGTGGCGAGGCAGACTGGCATGGCATGGGAGGGCTGGAAGCTTGGGGTGGTGAAGAACAAAAATGAGACCAGTGTGTGGTGAATAGCAGTTAACCCGAGGATAGGCAGGATCTCAGCAGACACAAGGAGAAGTTGGGTATGGAGTGACCTGGAGACTCCTGAGCTCGTCTGTGTGCTTCCTCGGCCACTCTGGTTGCTCTGTGAAGAATGAACTAGACAGACTTGCACGGAACAGGGAGACGAGTTCTGAGGCCATTGCTGAAGTGTGAAGTACTCCATCACCATGGGGCTGTGCTAGAACCTTTGTCTACAATGTATAAAAAGACCCAAACCAAACTCATTGCCGTCGAGGAGATTTTGACCTGGAGATGCTGGGTGGACAGTCGGATTTATAAGTAGGTCTCAAAAGTTTTCTGTTCTGGAGAAGTAAATTTGAGCCAAGAGTGTTGATAAGAAAGAGAACCAAGGATCCAATCCTTAGGAACTCCTAATTGGACTTTAAGAAGAATGACCCAGAGTTGTAGAAAACAGCCAAGTGGCAAATGGAAGAGGAGAAACATTGGGAGAGAGGGATGGCAGTCAGATTGCAGGTGAAAAAATGGAGAATGGTGTTAAAGATGCCGCTTTTGAGAAGTGTGTTTACAGAGAAGAGCCAACAGTGGGAAACTGGCTCGAAAGGTTGTGTAGCGTCCTTTGTTTTGTAGGTGGGAGATACTAGAATAGATCTTTTATTTTGCTAGCAAGAGAAATCTAGCAAAGAAAAGAGTGATACAGTAGAGGAGAAAGTGAAAGGAAAAGCCCTTAAGAATGACTTGGTTAAGATAGATGTAAGAGCTCACTCAAGAACAGATGGAGCCACATTTTCTTGTCAGCAATGGAGGGGGCATAAGATGGGTGCAGGTGCAGCGGTGATTGTAGGTCCATGGGTCGTAGGTGATAGTGTACCCACCTGATGTCTTCTCCATTTGTAGGGTGGAGGGTGCAGGAGGCTGTTCAAGAAATAGGAACTTTCTCACAAAGGAGAAAGTAGGATTGCTGAGTAACGGACCGCCCATGGTTGCTCAACTCACCCCTCCTCATAAAGTCTCCAAGGTGCCGTGTGTTCTATGGAGAAGGTCAGCCTTTTTAAAAGAAGCTGATCCCTCACGTAACAACCTTGACACCACCCCATGTATCTCAGCTTGGCAAACTGTGGCGATTTTCATGGTGCTGTGATGCTGGAGTGTAAGCCTCCAGTACTGTAAATACAAGCCAAGTCACCCATGGTGGACAGGTTTCAGCCGAGCTTCTTGTCTAAGACAGATCTGCTTTTAGAAATTAGCCAACACTAATTGTCAGTCCCAACAAAACCTGTCATCAGTCGGAATCAACCGTTGGAGGAAGTTTAATCATGTTTGGTGACGTAGAGGGCTAGCAAGAGCAAGGGAGAGCCTGGGTGAGACAGATGGTGCAGTAGCCCCAACAGTAGACTCAAACATTATGAGGGTGACTGTGAGGATGTCCCAGGGCAGGGCAGTGTCTTACTGTGCTGTCCACAAGGTCGCCGTTAGGTGCAGTTGACTCGACACAAACCTTACCTCCTTGTTTTCACCACAACATGACTCAGGTAGAAAAAAAAAAAAAAAACTTCACTCGCATATGCTCAGATACTGATAAATCTTTTCTTTTAAAAGCGATGTCTGCCCCGCCGTCATGGGGCATAAAGCACAAATGGGTACTTGCTCATGGGAAGGTGGTGGTCAGTACTAACAGATCTTGACTTTGTTTCAGGTCTGTGACGAGAAGTTATTACAGAGGTGCAGCGGGGGCCCTCCTTGTCTATGACATTACCAGGTAATGTACATCCCATCCCGGAAGGTGCCGCAGGGTGCTCTGCTCCTGATGTCTGCACTTAGGTCCCAGGACACTTAGGCTCCGTGCCCATCTGCTTGCAGCATGTACATGGGCTCTGTGTGTGCAGGCGTGGGGTCTGCTGCCAGTGATCGGGAAACCACGGGACCTTCCACTGTGTGTCTCAGATGTCTTTACATCAGCTGCTAGCATTGCTTTACTACATGAAGGGATAGGCTTGTGTGGATGACGTGGACAAACTGATCCTGAGTACTGTTTAACATTTAACATGATACTTTGACATTGTCCTTGAAGTTCAGAAAGGCAAGCTTTATGTCTGGTAAGTTTTCGGTAGTGCACTGATAGAGAGGTTCAGGGCACAGACTAAACGTACTCTGTGTGGGTTCCTCTAGTTCTTAGCTGTGTGACCTCCTCAGGCAACTTACTTGACCTATCTAGGTCATCAGTTTGCTTGACTATGAAGTGGGGTGACCATCATAATATAATCCTCATGAGGCTACTGGGAGATTTAAACAAGTTAGTGGAGATTACCTGGTACACTGTAAGTCTGCCTAATCCAATATGGTAGCAGAGAGCCGTCGACCCACTATCATTGAGTTGATTCAGATTTACAGAGGCCTCATCGGATAAAGGAGAACTGACCCACAGCGTTTCCAAGACCATAAACTTGCATGGAAACACAGTGCTACCTCTTTTCTTTTGCAGAGTGGCTAGTGGGCTCAAACTGCTGACCTTGTCCTTAGCATACAAGTGCTTTAACCACTGTGCCATCAGGACACGCTTGTTAACCATGCATGACTGTCTGTAAATTTGTTTGCATAAATGCAGTTCCTTGTATGTTTCAAGTGCTCAGTAGCCACGTGGCTACTTATTCTGTATTGGACAGTGCAGCATATAGAGGTGGCATCCTCCCAGAAATTCTCTCAGACAGTGCTGATTCCAGTGGCCATTACCTACGTCTTTGAAACATGTGGACTAAACGGTATACTCTGAGGGCTGGTACTGAGTACCGCCTCCTGTAGTCTGTGTGTCCAGAGTGAGGCACTCTGAGAAAGGGGGGACAGCACCTTGCACCCCTCCTCCCACTTACCCAGGCACGGAAAGGCTTAGCCTGTAAATATGTAAAAAGACCAAAACCAAACTCATGCCATGGAGTAGATTTTGACTCATAGCAACTCTGTGGTGGTGGTGTTGTTGTTAAGTGCCATCGGTTGGTTCTGACCCATAACAACCCTGTATAGGATTTCCGAGGAGCAGCTGGTGAGCTTGAACCGCTGATCTTGCCATTCAAACCAACCTTGCAGTCCATCGCATTAACCCGCAGTGCCACACCAGGCCTCCCAGCAGCTCTATTGTTGTTGTTGTTGTGAAGTGCTGTTGAGTCGATTCCAACCCATAACGATGCTGTATAGGGTTCCTGAGGAGCAGCTGGTGAGCTTGAACTGCCAACCTTGTAGTTCAAACAGTTTTGCAGTCTGGCGCCTTAACCCACAGCGCCATACCAGGACTCCAGCAGCTGTATAGGACAGGGTAAAACTGCCCCGGAGGTTTTCACTGGCTTTCATTTTTACAGAAGCAGACTGCCACATCTTTCTCCCACTGAGCAGCTGGTGGGTTTGAACCACCGACCTTTCAGGGCATTTAAGCACTGCACTACCAGAGCAGAAAACAGCAGGCACCAAGAGTCAGCCCTGGAGACAGGCGGACCTGGTCCAGACCTGTCTGTACCACTGGCCACTGTGTGACTTCAGGCTACTTAATTGATCTCTTTGGGCCTTGAGTTTCTCTTGTGACAAGGCAATAAAAATGAAAGTCTTTGTTACAGTTTCCATGGAGAATCAAAGTGATAAAACCACGTACCAAATGCATTGTAAGGGTTTGTTCAGTGGTGGTGGTGGTGTTAAGTGCTGTCGAAGTGATTCTGACCCATAGCGACCCAGTACAGGGTTTCTGAGGTTGTAAATGTTTACGGGAGCAGAAAACCTCATCTTTCTCCCACAGAGCGGCTGGTAGTTTCAATCGGCTGACCTTGCGGTTCACAGCCCGATTCGTAACCACTACGCTACCAGAGCTCCTTTTGTTCAGTGGTAGTCATGAGCTAATTAAATCCTGCTTTCTCAGAGCCTAAGCACCATGCCTTGCACACAAAGAGCTCAATAGATGTAAGTATGTGTGGTACAATGGTCATTCCGACAGTGTCCTACCACATATCCATCTGTGGGACGTAAAAGAGAGACTTGCTGGCAAGGGTCCCGGAGATTGGCTGCATGTATCAGCTGTGGACTGCCTGCAGCCAGGGAGCCACTGAGCAGTATACAGCCCTGAGTCTCACCATCAGCCACCAGTGCCCTGCCTGACTACCCTGGGGACCTGTGTGTGTAGGAAGAAGCTGGGCTGGGCTCTTCTACCCTGTCCCTCAGGACTTTAGGTTCTGACCAGCCTCCCTAGGTCTGCTCAAAGACATCTGTGCTCCCAGAGGCAGCCAGTTGCAGGTGCAAGTTTGTAAAGCACAAGGCAAGCTTGTGTGGAGGTTACATGAATGTATTTGTATTGAGTATATGCAGATATATATACTATATACTAGGGGTCTTCAGTGAAAATCATGGCAAAATGGAATTAAAGATAATGGAATTTTCACATGAACTATTTGAAGTACTTTCATGTAATATGGTGTTCATACCACATCCAAATTCTCTAATATCGTATGCATGTATCACGGATTAAGTGACACATACCTGTATTTGTGAAACGAACAAAGGAGCTTTTATTGATTTCTTCTTGCATCTTGACTATGTCAACAAATGACAAAATGTCTGATTCACCATCTCACTTCTCTGGAAACAAAAGAAAACAAATCTGGTGGGTGTGGTGCATACTTGGTGTATTCAGGTTGCTGGGTTACTACGAAAATGCTATTGGCATTCCCCGGAAATGTCTAAAAGTAGGTTGAGTAGTGTGATTGACTGGAAAAGATTGCTAGTTTTGTAAAATACATATATTATTTTCACAATCTTATATTACGCAGCCGAGAAACCTACAATGCACTTACTAATTGGTTAACAGATGCCAGAATGCTAGCAAGTCAGAACATTGTGATCATCCTGTGTGGAAACAAGAAGGATTTGGATACAGATCGTGAAGTTACTTTCTTAGAAGCCTCCAGATTTGCTCAAGAAAATGGCAAGTCACCTTTTACCTGGATTTTTTTTTTTTTTTCCCCTTCCAAATGGCAGCTTTGTGGGTAATAACATTTCTTTGAGTTTTAACATGTACTAGAGTTTCACAATTAAATTGCATTTAGAACATATAAAACTTGCATTATGTTGCTATGAATTTAGATTTATTCATCATCTCTTCAGTATGTTTTCACTCTCTGTAAAAGTTAGTATACAACTATAATGATAACAAATATAGCACCAGTCTCTAGTGCCTTACTAGTTCAGGCACTTTAAATATAAGACTTGACTTAAAGTAAAATTTATAACAATACATCTTAAAGGCCAAAATCAGATGGCATTTTAAAATGCAATTTGAAGTAAAATATGGGATTGGACTTATTTGTTTTATTTTATTTACATTAAATTTAAGTCATTTGACTGACTGTAAGTGCCTTCAAGACTATGAAATCCCCATTGAGTTCATAAGAATGCCACAAAGTTCACAGTTTCTTGTAGATAACGGAATGATAAAAATCCAGATATTTTAAAGCATATTAATTTTTAGAACCAATCAAGAACTGGAGTATTCTAATATCAGTAGTCAGTTGGAATCTAGGATAACCAAATTATGTCTTTGCCAGTTGACGAGTTTTCTGCTCAGAAGTAAACATGAAAGAAAAGCATCAGCTTATAGAGAAGCTGTGTGGGAATATTAAAAAAGCAGAGAATGCTGAAGCTCGCAAGGAACTTAGATGCCACTTAATTGAATCCTCATTTTTACAGATAATGAAACACAGGCTAGCTAGACGGTTGTGATTTGTCTAAGTTAGCAAGCAGAACAGACCTTTCTGCTGGGATTAGTCACCACCTTGCTGGCTGAGAAAAGTATTCATTCATATAAGACTTCATCAAGGTCAAAATGGCAAGTGGACAGACTGAATTCCCTAAGTACATATATTCTGAGTCATACTTGTGGTGGTACACAGATTATTTGGAGAAGGAAATTTCTGTTTCATTTTAGATTGACAGTTTGTGCATTTCCAGCAGCCTGCCCCATTTCTGACTTGACGTAACTCAGCCTGTGAAAATGGTTCTACTTGCTTAATTTCTTAAACAGATTTACGTGCTAACATAAGAGTTGAGTTTATAGAAGGTTAGGATTCTTCTGACATTAAAAAAAAAAAAAGGTGGATAGGCATTTATTTCATATTCTCATAAATCTATGGTTTTAGGTCCTACATTTCATTTAACTTGCTAGTTTAAGGGAATACTAAACAGATTTTGAGTAGTTCAAAAAATCATGATCAACTTTTAAATGTGTTTTTTTTGTTGATATCCATTTTAGAGCTGATGTTTCTGGAAACCAGTGCACTAACAGGGGAGAATGTAGAAGAAGCCTTTGTGCAGTGTGCAAGAAAAATCCTTAACAAAATTGAGTCAGGTAAAAAGCTTTCCATCACTTTTTAATATTTTCAGGAGTGATTTGGTGAAAAAAAAAAAAAAAAAAAAGTCCTCTCTGAACCTAAAATTGCCATTTGTTGGTTTGAAAGTCACGTACCTATAATTGTAAAGAAATTGTTGTCTCTTTGATCATGGGATTACCACAACCCCAGCATTGAAAGGGGAACAATAAACCAGTTGAATTATGGGGTGGATGCTCAAAGTTTCAGGTGACATTTGTTTTAGATTGATCACTTAGCGGAAGAAAAAGTGTAGCCATTTCCACTCTCTTCCAGCATGTTTCCTCTGTTGAGACGGTTGTCATGTGCAGTGCCTAGGGGATCACTGATATGATGTTGTTGTCATTAAGTGCCGTTGAGTCCATTCAGACTCATAGCGACCCTGTACAGAATTTATTTTACAAGGAGCGCTGCCGACCTTGCAGTTCAAACTGACCTTGCAGTCCAGGGCACTAGCCCACAGAGCCACACCACCATATGATGTTAGGGGTTATAAATAAATTGTATAATGTTGATAGATGTAGGTTGAGACCATCCTAGAGATATGCAGTCAGTGCAAGTTTTAGTTCTGCAGCTACCTGGCCATGCCTAAATTGTAGTCTACCTTGTTGTGGTAATATCTGTTGAGTAAAATTAAATATAAAATAACTCTTAATTTAGACCATTGGTAAAGTATTGTGTAATTTTCATTTACTGAAGCTGGCTTTTATTTAATTATTACCAAGATGACAAGGACGTTTGCCTTATAGTTAATTCATTCAGATACATGTGCACCTATTATTTGTTTAGACAGTATGAGTCCTGGTGTGGTGCTTTAGGATAAGCACTGGACTGCTAACCACAAGGTTGGCAGTTCAGATCCACCAGCTACTCCTCAAAAACCCTACATAGGGTCACTATGAGTTGGAACCAACTGGATGGCAGTTAACAACAGCAGGTATCACTAGGAATCCTGGCATGGCACTGTAGGATAAGCACTCGGCTGCTAACTGCAAAGTCGGCAGTTCAAAGCTACCATGTGCTCCTCGGCAACCCTATACAGGGTCTCTGAGTTGGAACTGACTCGATGCACTTAACATCAACTGGAGACACTATTAAGTCAGAATTGACACAACACCAGTGGTTTAGTTTGCGGGGGTTAAAATTCAAAGAAGAACAAGTCATAGCCTTTCCCCTAAAGAAACTGTCTTTCAAGGGAAACAGTCTTAAAGTAATGATAGTGTGATCGATTCCATGATTGAGCGAAGCACAGGATCTGATGGTAGCCCAAAGAAGAGACAGCTAGAGTGTTGGCGAGCCCTTTTTAGAGGGATGAGGACTGAACTTGGTCTTCCAAACAGAAGAGTGAACTGGCCACGAGAGTTGGGAGGAGAGCGCTTGAGCAGAGATTACAACAGAAGTTGAGACTTGAGAGAAGGTGACAGAAAGTGTGCAGTCCCTAGAATAGGAAGGGTAAGGCGCGGGGTGGTGGTGGTGGGGTAGGTAGCAGGAGAAAAGGGTAAGGAAAGGCAGGAGCTAGGCTAGCCTACCTCACCTAGGAGCTGCTTACTGATCCTCAAAGTAGCTGCAAATGAGGTCACCTGGGTGTATTTATAAAAACTCCACTTTCAGGGATTCTGAATTAATCATGCGAACTCTACCTCAGTCTTTAAAAAAAGCTCTCCCATGTGATTCTAATGGTCATCTAAGATTGAGAACTGCTGGGGAAGGTGGGGAGTCCTTCAAGGGCGGTAAGCAGAGGAGTGATCTGTCTAGGCGGTGATTTAAGATGAGTCATGTCTTCTGTTGAGGGCACACTGAAGGGAGAATGGTGCAGGCGGTTACCAGGTAAGGCATTTTTGAGTAAACCAGAGATGTAGAAGTTAGAGATACGAATGAATCTAAGAAATAGTTAATAACGTCAATAGGGAAAGACAAGAATCAAGGACAGAAACCTGGAGAAGACCAACATTTAAGGGTGAGCACAGGATTCCTGGTGTGGCGTTGCGGGTTAATGCGCTGGACTACAAAGTCAGTTTGAAACTCAGGGTTGGCAGTTCAGGCTCAGCAGCTGCTCCTTGGAAACCCTATACAAGGTCACTATGAGTCGGAACCGACTCAGCAGCACTTAACAACAACAACAACAGAAGAAGAGCATACAGAAGCAACAGAGAAGGAAATGGGTGTAAAGAGGACCAGGAGAAACATAGACTAATGTGTTGTGCCACCTCATGGTCCTTGATACCATTCGCCACTCCTCACCTCTCAAGTTCCAGAGTTCTGTGACACACTGTAATGTTTCACAAAACTCACAACTGTCAAAGGAAATGGTTCACGTAATTGTGGAGGCTGGCAATCCTAAATCCCTAGTTCAGAGATCAGTCTGGAGGAATCTTCTCACCCAGGAGTCTCAGGAGCTGAGGTACCCAGATAAGCAGATGAGACAGCAAGGTATGAATACATGAGGCTGTGGGAGCTGGTGGGTCAGGTCAGGCTGAAGAACAGACGTCCTGAGTCAGAGGCAAGCTCCAGGGCAACAGCGATTTTCCACAGCAGTCCTATGGGTCTGGGTCAGACCATGCCCCCAAGGGAAAGCTCGAATAAGGTGGGGCATCTCTAGTTCCATGCCATCCTTCCTCCTTGGTGGTTATGTGCCGTGGAGTAGATTCCAACTCATAGCGACTCTGCACAGGGTTTCCAAGGCTGTAAATCCTTACAGGAGCAGAAAGCCTCATCTTTCTCCCACGGAACGGCTGGTAGTTTCAAATCCTGAGGTCAGCAGCTCAACTTGTAACCACTACGCTACCAGAGCTCCTTATCCTTACTCGTTGTTGTTAAGTACCGTCAAGTCGGGTCCAACCTATAGTGACCCTGTATAGAATCTCCGAGGGGCAACTGGTGAGCTTGAACCGCCGACCTTGTGGATCAAATAATTTACAGTCCAGCGCATTAACCTACAGCACCACACCAGGACCACAGGAAGGGTTGTTGTTGTTAAGTGCCATCGAGGCGTTCTGACCCATAGCAACCCTGTATAGGGTGTCTGACAAGCAGCTGGTGAGCTTCAACCATTAACCTTGCAGTTCAAATGACTTTACAGTCCAGCGCATTAACTCAGCACCACACCAGGACTCCGGGTTAGATAGATGAAAATACCTCCTTCAGAAGTTGTATAGATCTAGATGAGAAGATACGTTGAGAAACAGCAGCTTCACATTTTTATATTTTTATTTAATAAATGTTTCTATGATTTTGTAGCTTACCTTCGTATTTTGGTGATCACAGAAACATACTTTTTTTTTTTTTTTTAATGAATGTTTCATTGGTCCTCAGGTGAACTGGATCCGGAAAGAATGGGCTCAGGTATCCAGTATGGAGACGCTGCCCTGAGACAGTTCAGGTCTCCACGGCAAGCACAGGCCCAGAGTGTTCAAGAATGCGGTTGTTAAAACTGCCCTCGGCCGGGCGGGCCAACACGGTGGGTGCTGGCAGTTTGAAGTCTATTTGTCCTGCTGGCGCTGTACTCCTCTTGCTTTTTATTTTAAATGCACTCATGATAATTGCCCGCCTGGATAACTGTTGAAGCTATCGTATTGATTTTTACAAGTACATTATGAAAAATAGATGAATGTTCTGATTGCAAGTATGTACACAGGGAATTGTCTATAGTTTTGTTTCAAAAAGAAAGGAAGGGCAGTTGCTGATGGGATTGGTTGAGACCAAGATGAATTAGCTATTGTGACAATGAGAAGACTTCATGGGGTATTGGAAGTTTTAATGACTGTGTCTTTTCTATAGTTGTTGTTGTAGTTATGTGCCATTGAGTTGGTTCCAACCCATAGCGACCCTGAACAGGGTTTCCGAGGCTGTAAATCTTTACGGGAGCAGAAAGCCTCATCTTTTCTATAGTAGAAGGGTCATTTATAACATTTCTAAAGGGAGATTTGAACTTCCTTAAGCTCCCTTTTTCCCATTTACCACAGTGGACTTGAATATATAGTCAGTATTTTGTAATAGAGGAGCTTTGGTAGTGTAGTGGTTACGAATTGGGTTGCTAACCTAAAGGTCGGCAGTTCAAAACCACCAGCTATTGCACGGGAGAAAGATGAAGTTTTCTGCTTCTGTAAAGATTCGCAGCCTTGGAAACCCTGTGCAGGGTTGCTATGGGTCGGAACTGACTCCACGGTACTTAACAACAACAATTATGTCATAGACATAGGCGGAAGTACTAACTTGGCTTTGCGACTATAAACTATTCTTAATTTTGTGTTTGTAATTGTGCATATTTCTAAATTGCTCTTAATATTTTTTAGGTGTACATACAATGGCATTTGGGACACAATTGTTGGAGCTTGAAGAATCTGAAGTTTTTTTGATTTTTTTTTTTTTTTCTACCACCATCTTTTTCTACTCTATACAGAAGTAGATCTTTGGGGGGGGGGGGTGGAGAATAAATTTGGGGTGTTAATGGACACTATTAAACATGGCACAGCAAACTCTATAATCTTCTCATGGACAATACCATAAAATGTATACATGTATGTAAAAATTATCTGTCTGCATTTTCCCCTTGACCTTTAGTTTGAAAACTGGCTCTGTACTGTATATATTCTAGGCCAGTAGGACTCCACAGCATGGCACACGATGGATGACATGTAGAATGTTGTACTAAATGCAGTGTACTATTTTTTTAAATCATATGAGCTAACAGTCTTCAATTGTGAGTTGCGCTTTTATCTTTGTGTCAGTCGGTTATACTTATGACCCAGGTATCCAGAAATTCTGACATTCATGGCCATTCATTGCTTAGTTCATTCTACATGGTGTTTACGTGACCCACACTTGAATTACTCAGTCAGTAGTTATTAACGTATTGAAATAAAATGAAAAACGGGAGTGTTTTTTCAATTAACTTTGCATTGTCCAGCTCTCTTGCTTCAGAGTATCTTCATCTCAGTCAATTCAGGAAATATATATATATATATTGAGTACCAAGTACCTGCCCTGGCCTAGGCCTGGTTCAGAGTACTAAGAACTCTAATACATACCTCGACCTAAACATAGTAGGCAACCTCAGCTATTGACAAAAATGTCATAGACCATAGAACTTGAGGCTACTAACCTGTTTCCAATATGCTGATCTGTCTGGCTCCCTGCGAGAAAACATCTTGTTTGCTGTTAATGTTTTTTGCTGGTTTCATAGCGTCGCACCCTCTTTTATTAATCCTCTCTTGTTTTATGTTCATTTTAAAGAAAGCCACTAAATCTAGTTCAAATTCTGAGATACCAATTATTAAGCAGTTTTTTTTCTACATTTTGCTGGATCCTTAAATGTCTTTTCTTACATTTACCAAGTTGATGTGTTTTTAATTCACATAGGCTGTATTGAAATATAATATATATGATATTGCAGAGACTTGTTCTGATATTTTTAAATGCCAATGCAAAAATCATGTAATGGAACTTTTCTTAAAAATCAAATGCAGTATTATGTAAGTCCGAAAGGTTAAACAGTTTTTCTCTTAATGTTACGTTTTTCCACTGTGATTTTTTCTTAAATGGCAGCTGCAGACTGGTTGGTGTGTTTACTTTTAGTTAGACGCTTCCTGTTATTTTTGTGGGGTCTGATGTGGCGCTATAGGATAAGCAGCGGACAGCTAATCACAAGGTTGGTGGTTCAAACCCACTAGCTGCTGCTTGGAAATCCTATGCAGGGTTGCTATGAGTCAGAACTGACTGGACAGCACTTAACAACATTGTTTTTGTGTTTTAATCAACAGACAGCACAGAGGCACATTTAAACTCTTCAATCTGACTTTGATAAAAATATAAGTAGTTCAAATCTACCAGCTGTTTGATGGGAGAAGGATGAGACTTTCTGCTCTGGTAAAGATTTACAGCTTCTGAAGCCCCATACAGGGTCGCTCTGAGTCGGAACCAACTTGATGGCATGCAGCCACCATCTATTCATTTTTAAGTTGTGGCTTTTTTTATGCCCTAAATGTTTTATTTTGAAAAGTCAGAATCCAAATTCTCAGACTGAACTATGTCTTGGACCTCACTGGAAGAATTTTTCATATAATGTCTCATTTATGGTAGTTTTGCCAGTGGCTCATTTCTAAACAGGTTTTTTTGTTTTGTTTTGTTTTTGTTTTTTGCATGAGATAGGAGCATGTCCATTCTAACAAAAGTGAGTTTAAAAAATATAATTCAATTCTGGTTTTTAAATGAGTCTGTTAGTTAAACCACAGGTGCCCACACTTTACTCTGTAGTCTTTGACCAGTGAAAGTTCCTGAAGAAACAAATCAGGATGGGGAATTGTGTTAAGAAGGGTTGTAGTCTAGGAACAGTGAAGAGCTGAGGTACTTCCTGCTGGTCAGTCTAGTAAAAAATGGTATGTACGCATTCCCGTTTACTTACTCAGTTTTCAGGACGCTCTGACTTTCTATTTCTAGAAAAGTAATGTTTCAGCCTTCCCAGGAAAAGATTATAACGTCCATTTACACTTGAAATTGTAATTTTTTTTTTTCTTTTTACAAAGCAGCGTTTAAGTGAAAGTGAGAACACCACAATTTGAGCATCTAATGGTTTTCTCAGGAGTCCTATTGGCTCCATGGCTAAATGCTTAGTTGTAGCCAGAAGACCAGCCATTCGACCTCCCAGCTGTTTCCGAGGAGAAAGATGTAGCAGTCTGCCTCTGTAAAGGTTACAGCCTCGGAAACGCGGGGAGTCCACTCTCCTCTGTTCTCCCCACTCAGTCAACTCGCTGGCCATCGTTGTTGTTTGTAATGGTCTTACTGGTTACCACGCCTGGTGGAAATGTCCTTTTTACTTGTTGTTTCCCAGTTGTAAGTTAGTGATTCCTACTTGATGAGTGCTGTTCTTCAGAGTAAAGAACCTGATGCTAAAATGAGAAACCTGGATGCTGTGTAATCCATATGGTGACATCATAAATGGGTCTTCATTTTCTGCCATGCTTGCCCTCTGTTTGGAGGGTATTAAACACCTGTGAATTCCTAATCGTTTTGTGCCAGCTGATGATCCATGTGCATGGACCCTTCCTTCAACAGCACAAGTTTAAACAGGCCCACTTCTGCTTTGAAAAGACACTGTTTGACACTAATCATCTTTTTTTTTTACGTTTTTACTGTGAACTGAACGATAAGTTTCTATGGGAGAACATCTGCTTTACACAATCATTTCATTGCAGTGATCACAATCTGCTCTGTGCAACATCATTCCAACAGTATTTGCGTCTATTCCTTGTGTTTTTTTTTGTTTTGTTGTGTTTTGTTTGGAGGCAGGAGGCAATGTACACAAAAATACTCAGGAATATGTAATCATTTAAACAACCAAAGGGCACATTCTGCAAGCCTGCCTCCTGGCCGCCAGCACACAGCCTTTCTCTTTCCAGATACTAATCATCTCTTTGTGAGCATTTCGTCCCTCCAGTAAATTCTGCATCTCAGTAAAAAGTCATCTCTCCAGGTTCTCACACTTTTCATCATGTTTAGTGGTATTTTGTAAGCCTGAGTAACAGTATGTGACCCTAAGAAATACCACTAAAGTCCTGGGGTGGCGCTGCGGGGACAATACGCTGAACTGTAAGGTAGTTTGAACCTCAAGGTCTGTGGTTCAAGCTCACCAGCCACTCCTCGGAAACCCTGTACGGGGTCGCTAGGAGTCAGAACCGACTCGATGGCACTTAACCACAATAGCAACAACAAATACCACTAATGATGCTAGAATTGCTCCTAAGAAGCAGAGAAAAAGGACATTTCCAGAAAAAAAATGGAATTGCTTGATTTGTACTGTACAGTGAGCCGCACAGCTGCTGTTGCCTGTCTTTTCCAAAATAAATGGATCCAGTGAAAGGACCGTTATAAAAAAAGAAAAGAGACGTCACAGTGCCGCTGCTGTAGCTATGCCAGAAGGTATGAAAACCATGCCTTTTCTGTGCCAAGCCTTTTCCGCTCATATTTAAATACAGCTGTTAATTGGGCACAATATAGAATGCATGTAACATACAAAACGTGGTCATCAGGCTATCAGTAATGTTTTTGGGGAGTCAGAAGTTATATGCAGATTTTCTACTGTGCCAAGGAGGGGGTCAGTGTCCGTCACCCCTGCGTTGGTCAAGGGTCAACTGTACATATGTTGGTTAGTCAAAAGTATTTGCTATAAAATCAGCAAACTATTACACAAAAATATCAAAACATGAGGCTCTTGTTTCTCAACTTATCTTTCATCTAGGTTGTGTACACTTCAGAGGGCACTGTTTCCATCTCTAACCCTCGAGTTGGAGTCCTGGTGTGGTGCAGTAGGTTAATGGGCCAGACTGCGAAGTCATTTGAACCTCAGGGTTGGCAGTTCAAGCTCACCAGCTGCTCCTTGGAGACCCTGCACAGGGCTGCTCTGGGTCAGAACTGACTTGACGGCACACGGCAC